TAATTCTTACTACTAGAAAAATTTAATATTCCTTTTAGTGGTCAATTAATTGCATAGTTGTTACTGATAGAAAATTTTGGTATTCCTTTTAGTCACAGACTTTATGATAGATGATACTTTGAATAGAAAATTAAGAAATAAAGATAAGAGAATGCTAAAAAGTCTTTATACTAGAAGACAAAAATTTAATATTCCTTTTAGTGGTCAATCAATTGCGTAGTTGTTACTGATAAAAAAATTTTGGTATTTCTTGTAGTCACAGGTTTTATGATGGATGATACTTTGAATGGAAAATTAAGAAATAAAGACAAGAGAATGCTAAAAAGTCTATATATTAGAAGACAAAAGTCTTCTTAGTGGAAGAAATTAAAGAGATTGTGATAGATTAACCCATTTTAGAGTATGTTTGGTTAAAGAGGAAACGATTTGAGATTCCAATCCAACTATATTCTTTAAATTAGCTAGCTACTCATTTCTAGCGTTGAAATTTCTAATTTAGACATGTATTGATCAACGACCAACTAATTGCGTAGTCCTTACTATTGGAAAAATTTGGCATTCTTTTTAGCTACAAACATTGTGATGAATGACACTTTAAGTGGAAAATTAAGAAATAAAGGTAAGAGAATGCTAAAATGTTTTTATGCTAGAAGACAAAGGTCTTTTTAGTGGAAGAAATTAAAGAGATTACGATAGATAAACCCATTTTAGAATATGTTTTGTTAAAGAGGAAGGGATTTGAGATTCCAATCCAACTATATTCTTTAAATTAACTAGCTACTTATTTCCAGCATTGCAATTTTTTTTCTGGACTTGTATTTATCAATGATCAACTAACTGCATAGTCCTTATTGCTAAAAAAATTAGACATTGCTTTCAATCACAAACTTTGTGATGAATAACACTTTGAGTGGAAAATTAAGAAACAATGATAAGAAAATACTAAAAGGTCTTTATGCTAGATGACAAAGGTCTTGTTAATGGAAGAAATTAAAAAGACTACAATAGATAAACTCAGTTTAGAGTATGTTTGGTTAAAGGGGAAAGGATTTGAGATTCCATTCCAACTATATTCTTTAATTTAGCTAGCTACTTATTTTCAACATTTAAATTTATTTTCTAGACTAGTATTTATCAACAATCAACTAGATGCGTAGTTCTTACTGCCAGAAAAATTTGGCATTTCGTTTGGTCATAGACTTTGTGATGAATGACCCTTTGAATGGAAAATTAAGAAACAAAAGTAAGAGAATACTAAAATGTCTTTATGCTAAAAGACAAAGGTCTTTTTAGTGGAAGAAATTAAAGAGACCACGATAGATAAACCCATTTTAGAGTATGTTTGGTTAAAGGGGAAAGAATTTGAGATTCCAATCCAACTATATTTTTTAAAATAGATAGCTACTTATTTCTAGCATTAGAATTTCTTTTCTAGACTTGTATTTATTAGCAGTCAACTAACCGTGTAGTCCTTACTAGTAGAAAAATTTGGCATTCCGTTCGGTCATAGACTTTGTGATAAATGATACTTTGAGTGGAAAATTAAGAAATAAAGATAAAAGAATTCTAAAATGTCTTTATGCTAAAAGACAAGCATCTTCATAATAGAAGACATTAAAGAGACCGTGATTGATAAACCTCTTTTTGAGTATGTTTGGTTTAAGGGAAATAAAGAAAAATAGATTGGAGGGAAGAGATGAGCTTTTTAACTAATCAAATTATGACATTTTAATGTTACCATTTGATTAGACAAAAAATTCATCCCTTTCCTTCTCTTCCCTCAAACCAACCATATCCTTATTATCCTTATTAGTCTTTAGAATCTACAAAATTCAAGTTACTTCTATGTTTATAATCCTATAGATCAAGATCAACTAGAAGAAATTACTACATGAGTTTTTCATCTTCACCTTCTTACCCTTCAAAGAAATTTTAAAAAAAAAAAAAGGATAAAGATAAAGATAAACTACAGAGAAATGCGAATAAGGTCATTCATTTGAAAATTGATTACTGAAAGTAATATCAATTTTTGCTTTGAAATTTCTTCAAGACCTCCCAACAAAGACTCTTTTGTATTAATCGAATCACCATATATAAATTTTTTTAAATAGTATTTGTCATGAACCTGCAATGAAAAAGATTTTACAATAAAAGGTAACAAATAATTAATTCTCAAAGAAAGCCACAAATTAAAAAACAAACAAGATAGAACAGATTACACATTCAATATATACATACTAAGAAATGCACTCGTTATTTTAGTGCATGATGGACCCTACAACATTAGATAACTCTCTCATTTACCAAACCCTTTCAAAACATCTCAAGATTCAAACTCAATTTAACTAAGCTCAAAACTCAAACTCAATTTTGTAATCACTAAAGCATTCCCTAACTCTAAAAAATGCACGCTTATGCAAATCTATCTTGCTAATCTTAAGCGATTCTCGAATTCCTTCACATACCATTTTAATTTGGGCTTTAATTGATGTAATTAGTTGTGTGAACCCCTCCAAGGCCCTCCCCACCACTTGCCTTTCTAACTTTTCCTCCCTCAATGATATGAAGTTCAAAGCTTTGGACCAGATGACATCCAAGCCCAATATCCACAAAAGTATGTCATGTATTTACCACTTCTATTTACATGTAGACTATTGGTCCATGATTGAACAACATCATAGACTAGTTACGTTATTTTTTCTAAATTTTTTATTTTTCTTTACAATTCTGAGAAAAGCTTTTGTGATCCAAAATCTTTATCCCAATAAACAATTGCACAAATAAAGTTTTGTTTAAAGTGACAATCAACAAATTCCTCAAATTTTTGTAGTTCATGCTATTGGGAATTATCCATCTCACACTGTTACCAGAAGAAACATAAAGAAAACTATTGCTTGCTATGAAGATTTACTTCTGCAAAACTACATTAGAAGAATTCTTGCTTTTAAACACCCGAAATATTTATCCTCCTTTGTGAGGTCAACAACCTTAAAGACTTGAAATCATCATAAGGTTCACAGTAGGCATCAAACCCTTCAAGCCAATGTTTTTAGTATTTCATTCAGACATTAAATTTTAAAAAATAAAAATTATGTAATTTTACATGATAAATTATTTAAATAATTTAAGTATAATGAAATTATGATCCACTCACAAAGTAATCCTACTATTATTCTCTAGCTCCTTCAAAGTTCCAAATTCAAGTTCCTCACAATTTGTTGTTTGTCCAAATCTAAAGATGAGTTTCAAAAGATTTAACTCTTAATACACATATGCAAAACTCTTAATATATGCACATAAAACTTTAATCTCAAAAGTAACATGTCATCCAGCTCTAGACTTTTCAACATATATTTAGATTCATCTTTTTCTACATAAAAAAATATAATAATCATCCTTTTCCTTACAAACATATATCATGTAACCTAAATAGACTAACCTTTAGTGTATTTTATTCTAATTATAATTAAATTTGACAAGGGGTCCATGATTCCACAAAGCCATATAAATCCATGCATTACTAAGGTATATTTTAGTATTAAAAACCATGTTGGGTCATATCCAAAGCTAGAGGGCTATTACAATTAAAAATAATAATAAATTAGCTATTTGACCCCAATTAGAAGTAAAATTAATAACAATTAAGCTACTTGACCACCAAAAAAATTCCCTAAAATGTAAAAAAGATCTTTCTAAGCTCAAACCATGACTCAACCCCATATCGCTTGAATTCAAGATGTCTTTTGCGCTGCTAATTATAGGTTAGATAATAACTACCGTGGTTATGGCCTATGTTATTGTTAGATATTGACATTTTCTGGCTAAGGTTAAAAGGCCCATGAAACTCAAAATGTAACAACCTTGTTCTTTATTGAACACAATAGAACCTAAGTCTTTAACTAACAATTAAGTTAGGGACTTAATTAGAAGAATTAGAAAGTCGGTGCTTGCACATGCCAACTTTCCTAAACTTCCACAATGTGTCTAGACCTTTAGCAATGCTAATTACACTTGGCTATTCTAGAATTTAGGAAAGTGAAAACTTATTAAACTCCACTAACTTAAGTCAACTTTAACATGTGAAGTGCATTAGACTTTTAGTCAATTTTTGCATTTTTTTTCTTACTTTTAGCCGAGCAGCAGTAGGAGAAGAACAACAAGAAAATCTATCAAGTTTCATCTTAGTAACTTAGAGCCATATAGGGTAAGTGTGGGTTATAGTCTTTTATTTTAAACTAATTAAGAAACAGGAAGAACATGTTCATATGCTAAAAACAAAGAAATCAACATGTAATTGATTAAAGATCACTACAAACAAGATATGGTCTTATACACCACATTGGTGATAGTGTGTGTTTTTTTAGGATGTTGGAGCTATTGACGTTGGTTATGTCTTGTCTAAAGTATGTGACTTGAACTATTAAAGCATGATTATGTAACTGGTGTAATATCTTAGTTTACTTATTCAATTTGATTAATGGTTACTTTGTAATCTACTACATTTCTTCCTATATATGGGTTATAAGGGAGATTAATGACCATAAAGAATTGTATCAAACTGATATATTAATCTGTGGTTGTTTATGAATAAGAAGTTAAGAACTAACCTGTTGTGCAACCATGTGTTAAATCGTATACATACCTTGTGCTATGGAGAATTTGGATCTAAACCTATGGTTTAGAGATTCACTCAATCCTTTTTAGGGTATTAAGAAAGTCTTCTATAAGAGATTTAACGACCTCTGCATGATAGGGATATGCTAAGACTAGCTCCAACATTTGTATTGTGAGTACCTGCACATTTTTGGTGCTCCATATATAGCTTATTGTTGACTTTATTATAATATCTGCTTCATTTTAACTTTGGTTATGCTAGTTATGTTATGAAACGTTTAGTGTGCCATGAATGTGGTGTAGATACTTATGTATTGCCCAATTCTATTGTGAATTAAGTCTGTGTACTAAATATTTAAGGTAAATGTATATGTTACGTTTAATTCTACCATACAATGCAACGCTTTAGCAAGCCTTATCTATTATGTAAATACTAAATTCAATGCTTTGAGAATTACTAAACTTAAAATTCTAAAACTTATGATGAAATTCTAACGAAACTACTTTGAGTTAAAAGAAATGGAGGGGAGGAAAAAATTGTCCTTTATTTTATTTTATTTTTTAAAATTTGTTACTTATTCAAAGGAGAGGAAAGAAATGAAGGGGAATAGAAGGACATAATTCCCCTCCCCCTCCCTCCCTTCTTCTCTTCTCTATTCCCTTCATTTGGATAAATAACTAAATTAAAAGAAAAAAATAAAATAAAAAAAAATTATCCCATCCCTTCCCTTCCAATTTTTTTAATAACTAAATAGATAATTTTTTTCCCCTCCCTCCATTCCCTTCCACTCAACCATGCTATTAATACATACACAAAAAACTTTAATTTCAAAAGTAATATGTCATCATGCTCGTTTATCAAATATATATATATATATATATCATCAAGCTCAAGACTTTTCAACATATATTTAAATGCATCTTTTTCTACGTCAAAATATATTAATCAACCCTTTTTTTACAAACATATCATGTAAATTAAATAGGCTAATATAATGCAAATTTTATTTTATTATATAAATTCATGCATCACTAAGGAATACTTTAGCATTTGAAAACCAGGTTGGGTTATACCTAGAGCCAGAGGATATTGCAATTTGAAGTAACAACAAATAAGCTACTTAACCCCCAATTAGAAGTAAAATTAAAATATTAATAGCAATTAAGCTACTTGACCATAAAAAAATTCCCTAAAATGTAAAAAAGGTCCTCCTAAGCTTAAACCATGACTTAACCCAATATGGCTTGAATTCAAGATGTCCTTTACAATGCCAGTTATAAGCAAGCCAATAACTATCATGGTTATGGCCTATGTTCTTGGTAGTATATTGACATTTTCTAGCTAGGGTTAAAAAGCTCATGAGACTCAAAATGTAACACCCCTATTCTTGATTAAACGCAATAGAACTTGGTGTCTTTAACTAAGACTCAAGTTAGAGACTTAATTAGAAGCATTAAAAAGTTGATACTGGCATATGGCCAACTTTCATAAACTTCCATTATGTGTCTAGATTTTTAGCAATGCCAATTACACTTGACCATGATAGAATTTAGGAAAGTAACTCATTAAACTCCACTAACTTAACCCAACATTAACATGTGAATTGCATTAGGCCCTTAGCCATTTTTTGCATTTGTTTTCTTACTTTTAGCCAAGCAAGAGAAGGAGAATAACAATAATAAACATTTTCTTCAACATCATAAGGACTTGAAGAGTTTAAGCTGAAATTATGTAATATCTTAGTCTAATTATTCTATTTGATTAGTGGTTACTTTATAATTTGTTGAATTTCTTCCTACACTTAGGTTATAAGGGAGATTAATGACGATAAAGAATTGTATCAAACTGACATGTTAACTTGTGACTATTTATGAATAAGAAGTTAAGAACTAACATGTTGTGTAACTGTTTATTAAATTATAGATATATATACCTTATGTTGTTTGCGTATAAAGCTATAGAGAATTTGGACTTGGACATATGGTTTAGGGATTATGTCATGCCCCAAAACTGATGTCGTACACTTGTGAAGAAATCCCACAAATGCACGAGGCTCGGAATTAAAGTAAAATCTATCTTACAAAAGAATGATCTATATTTCAAAAAAATCTATGCCTAAAGTACAATTGCTAGCCTTCTAGCTCATTACTCCCCTTGGTTTCCCATGTTTCAGCTCTTACTACCTAAAATGGTGAATGAGGAAAAAAAACTCTATGAGCTAACTCAGTAAGTAAAAATATGGATAACCCTTACTTAAAATTTATAGCATGCCAACAAGTATAATCAATTATCAAGAAAAATGGGTACAAGTACGGGAATGAAATAAACATCTCCTCTATAGGGCATGGCCAGTGTTTATAAACCTCCCACTGGCGGGCACAAGATTTGCTAGTGTATAATCCCACTAGTAGGGTAACAAGTATAACAAGAATGAACCGGTTCTATAAGTAACATGTGGACATGTGCTAGCATTTATAAACCTCCCACTAGTAGGCACAACAAAACATGACCGTATTGGAGACTAAAACATGTAAGAGTTACAAGAAAATCCATAACTTACAAATCAACCTTTAGGTTATCAGAATAGTTCAGCAACCTCCAAGTAAGCATGCTCAAATCAATAAATGATAATAACTTCATTTAGCCAATCATGCTCGTGTTTGGGTAAAACAAGTTTAGTCCCGCCACCACCCCGCCACCACTTCAAAATAGTTTAAATATGCTTTAAAAAAAAAACCCTTTACCTTAAAATCCAAGGGCATTTACCATAAATTTACTTACCTCACCTTATAGGTATACAACAAATAAGGAATTCAAGAAGTCAAGGTGCTTGAGGTGATTTAGAACATATACCACATCAAATACATACTTAGAATATGCTTAAAACAGCTCCAAGAAGACACACAAACAGCAGGTATCCCAAACAGATTTGCTAGATAAAATAAGGTGGAAATTGGTGAGAAATTGAGCTCTTAGTTATCCTAGATACAGCAGAAGTATTAGGTAGCAAAGTGGGGGTTTTTTCCATTTAAAACAGTTTCCAAAATGCTTGGAATAAGCCCTAAACAGCAGGGATTTTTGGGCAAAAAGACAGCAACAAAACAGGATAAAACACAAGCTGGAACTAGGCAAAAATGGACAACATTTAAGCAACAAAAAAGGCAGCCAAAGTAAAGCAATACAAAGGGTTTTAGAACATGAAAACAACAGCTAAAAAGCTACAAAGTCATGATGCAATATGGCAATAGATATAGTGGGAATAAAGCAGAAAACAGAGCAAATTTCTATCAAATTCTAGTCAAATTTCGAACTGGAATTTCCAACAGAATTCACTCCCAGAAATTGACTGATCTGGGTTGACTGGTCAGTAGATAAGTTGTAATCCTATGTCTTAGCATTCCATAGCATCATGAATTACCTTAATCCGACATCTACAGAGGGAGTTATGGCCAAAATATTAATGGAAGGTCAGGCTGCCAATGTAGTTCGCCTATAGGGATTGAACTTGTAGCAGAGTTTTCACCTTGAAAACAGCTGAACTGGGTTAAACGCTCAACAGAGAAGCTGTAGGGCTATCTCTTAGCTTTTTATAGACCCAAAAATGGACTTAATCGGATAACTACAAAAAGAGTTATAGCAAAACACTACAGCAAGGTCATGTTGTCAGAATTTTTCTAGCATAAAGAGATCAACTTCTACTGGTACTTGATTATGGCAAAATCAAGGAGGAAACTATAGAAACACCCCCAAAATTGAAAACCCTAAATGATTGGAGCTAACCCAATTCAAATCAACAATGTAAAGATGAGAAACGTGGCTGATCTCTTACCGAAAATGTTGGAAAGATGGTGACCTCCTACACTGCTCAAGAACCCAACATGGACCAAAAAAATTGGGGAATATCAACAGCTAGATCTAGTTTTGAATCATCAATTTAAGAATCATGAGCTCATAAATCACTAAATCAAACTTGGGAGGAAGAAGAAGAACTAAACCTCACATTGTTTGTCCAGCAAGAATGTGCTAGGCGTAGGCAAGGGTTTGGGGAGGCAAGTTTCAAGTGGGGGTTGGGGAAGACAACGCAAAAATGGGCTAGAAAAAAAAAAAAAAAAAAAAAAACAACCTCAACCATTTTTAAATACCAGGTTTCACTTTTAACCCTCCCTTAAGTTTGTGAATTTTAATTATTAGATCCAAAAATAATAATTTCTAGCACATAAGTCTCTAACTTAAATTCTAAAATTTCAAAAAAAATTTGGGATATTACAAATTAAATCGACCTTTTTTAAGGTATTAAGTGAGTTTCCTATAGGGGATTTAATGACCTTTGTATAATAGGGATATGCTGAGACTAGCATGCATATTTCAAGTACTCCATATATAACATGTTGTCGATTGTGTTATTATATCTACTCCATTTGAACTTTGGTTATGCTAGTTATGTTATAAAATGTTTAACGCGCTATGAATGTGGTATAGATTCTTATGCATTGCCCAATTCCATTATGAATTAGATATGTATGCTAAGTATTTAAGGTAAATGCATATGTTATGCTTAATTTTGCTATACAATGCTTTAGCATGCCTTGTTTGTTATATAAATGTTAAGTTCAATGCTTTAAGAATTACTATACTTAAAATTATATAACTTATTATGGAATCCTAACGAAAACTGCTAAGCCTACCTTTACTTGATTAAAGATCTCAATTGAAGTGATTTTTTCAATCATAGCTTATGGTTGTAATGCATGCAAGCATTCTACTTTTTTGAGGTCACAGCTCTATATCTTGAAGTTCTTAAGGAGTATAGGGTATGAGGTGTGACACAAAAAACTCACCATGCACATTTTCTATCTACAGTGTTAACCATTAGCATTAAATTACAAGTACAAAAACAAAAATAATCATATGGTACATGAGTTGAGTAATTAAGAAATAAAAGCACTCACCAATAATGATCGATCTTAAGAGAAATTGATGAAATTAATGAGAATTTAGAACTCTCAAGCTAGGCATCTATGGGTCAATTTTCATGTAGAGGATTATGGCTGGGTTGTGCATGGTATTAAAGTATATGAACATGTGAGTGGAGTTAAAAGTTAAGAGATGTGCAAAGATCTCACATTAATGAGCAACAATGTGTTAGAGGTTTAATATATATATATAAGCCTATGAACCTGTTAGGTTCAATAGGACATCTCCTCATATGTGTTTGTACTCTCTTACAAGTGCACTTTTGAGCTAGAGCCTAATAGATTATCCTAACAAGTGGTATTACACCTAATGGTATCACAACAAAGATTCTTTGATAGACAAGAATGAAAGAGATAAAGACAAAAAAGAAAAAAGGAAAAGAATGAGAGATGAAAGAGAAATGAGGAGATGGTCAACGATAATGGCAAACGAAGCTCACGAGAAACAAAAGAGGAAGATGACCCTTGTTACTAGTAAGTGGAGAGTATAGGGATTAAAAGTTACTATTAAAATAGGGAGCAGGAATTAGTCCTTAACTTCTCTATCTATTAAAATATAGCCCTTATCTTTTCTCATTCCATAAATGGCATTTTGAGCAGTAGGAACATCATTTGAAAATGTAATTTAGTTGCATAGATTACAAAGAAAAACTCTAGTCTCATTATTAGTGAAAAACTCTAGTCTCATTATTAGTGGGGTCCAAGAGTGCTAGAGTATGCATAATGAGAATAATAAAAAAAACTCAGTTTAGTTTCAAATCATCATAATTAATAGTATTTTATATAAATTTACATTTTAAATATTTAACCCTCAAATAAAACATCTAAATGAACACATCTTCTTCCATCCATATATCTAAATAGAACTTCCTTAAAAGTATTATTATTATTATTATTATTATTATTATTATTATTTAACTCATTTCAAATAAAAAGATTTGAATTAAAAATTAAAAAAAAAATCAACCATTGGATCAAAATGATCCAACAACATAAAAGGGAACTAGTGCACTACCTGACATGTTGACATGCACCTAAGAAACCACTTTAAAATGAACAAAAAAAAAAAAAAAAAAAAGGAAGGAAGAGAACAAGTTCTCTACAAAGAAAAAGGTTTTCTTTTAGAACATACTCTAATAGATTAAAGTTCTACCTCTGTTCTATTTTTAAAGAGAAAAACGAAAGAGAACTTCCATTGTGTATGCTCGTAGAGCAAACCCTATGCTTAATGAAACTTATGAGACTAAGAGCCAACTCGAATGATTATTAGAATGAGATTTTTATTGTCCATACCATATAATACAAAACTCATAACAAAAAAATATTATATAGTTTGAACTGCATAACTTAAATCATTAGATAAAAAATGAATTCTTTAGATAAAAAATGAATTCTTTAGATATTAAAGATTATACCTCATTAAATAGTTATTGTTTTATAGTTTAATGTAGTTTAAACTATAAAACATAAACTCACCTCTTAATTTTAACATAAGAATAAATTTTTACATTAAATAATTTATAATACTAGCAAAAATTTGAATAAACTTAATAACTTATTGTGGTACTTGCTTCTTTTATAAATAATTTAAAATTGCTATTTATTTGATCTATTAAATTGTGAATGAGGTATAATAGTATATTTGGTATGGGAAAACGGGAGGAGAGAATGGAAAATTTTAAATATTATAATTTGATTTGTAAAAAATTTTCTCCTCCTCCCCGTTTCCCTGGAAGGAACCATCATACTCTAAGGAAATGTGAGGATATAATTGTTATTTGTTTTAAAGATTAGGGGTATAAATGTTTTATAACAGCAAAAATGTTTCTCAAAGGGACGGCCAGAAACAGATTTAAAAACGGAGACAGAATCGGTCTGCGACGGATTTCAGTAATGGGCGACCAAGAGCAAAAACCCAAGGCGTCTCTCTTCCCTCTCTTTTCTGCTTCTGCTACCACCAACACCACCACTTCTACTTCCACCAGTGTTGTTCCTCAATGGCTCTCTAACACTAGCTTCACCGCCAACCCTTCCGTCATAAACAACGCTGTTTCCTCCGCCATATCAGAAGAAGGAGATGAAGAACAGGAAGAACCACCGCGAGAGGAGCAGCCGCAGTCGCAGCATCATTCCTATGAGTTGTTGGAGGACGAAGATGAGGAGTCTGATGGAGAGAAGTATGAAAAGAGAAAGAGGAGAAAGAAGAAAAGAAAGAGATCCAGAGAGAGCGAGAGAGGAATCTCCGAGTTTGGCTCCCGGAAATCTGTGCCTGCTAAGGATTATTACTTTGATTCTCATCCCGATCCTGATAATTTGGCCTATGGTTCTCTCTATAGGTACTTGATTTCTCTTTTTTTAATTTCAATTGCATCTCTTTGCTCAATATTCTTAATTCACTATTTCTCTTGAAACTTAGAAAATCAGGGATTGAAATTCCGTTGAGCTTAATATTCGTATTCACTTTTGACCTCCTGAATCAAATGAAGCATTGAGAGTTGCCTTTTTATATTGAATGAATTTTAACTTTTATGCTGATGGTCTGGTTTATTATATGCTGCAGAATGGATGTTCCTCGCTATAAAGTTCATAATCCGTTTAACAATGGTGATCTTGATGCCTTGGACAACAAAGTAAAGTCCACTGAGAGATACTGGTCAGCTAAGAATGCAGCCCTTGAGCGAAATAAAAATTTCAAGCGGTTTCGACTTTTAGCACCCAAAAGTTGTGCAGATATACTAGATGATTTCATCCCATTATCAGATGGTGAATCATCTTCATTGCAGCCAATTATTGAAGAATCTTGGGAGGATGAAGTGCTACGCAAAACCCGGGAGTTTAACAAACTGACTAGAGAGAATCCCCATGATGACCAAGCATGGCTGGCCTTTGCTGAATTCCAAGACAAGGTTGCCAGTATGCAGCCCCAGAAAGGTGCTCGCTTGCAGACTCTTGAAAAGAAGATTAGCATACTGGAGAAGGCAACTGAGCTTAATCCTGATAATGAAGAATTGTTGCTTAGTCTTATGAAGGCTTATCAGAAAAGAGATAGTACAGAAGCATTAATTAGGCGATGGGAAGAGATACTCATGCAGCATTCAGGGAGTCAGAGGTTGTGGAGAGAATTCTTGCGTGTTGTTCAAGGGGAGTTCTCCAGATTTAAGGTTTCAGACATAAGAAAAATGTATGCACATGCAATCCAAGCTCTATC